TCTAAAATAATTTTGTTAGATCATCAAAATAATGTAATTAATTATATAGAATTGAGTCTCAAACATGGTGAGCAATGTTGCAAAAAATTTTAGCAAGATATTATATTTAGAAAGATTTAGAAAGATATTATAGCAACCAATTTGGACGTTCTAGATAATTATTTTGATGGTCCAACAAAATTGTTCAGATTTGCATCTAGATACATTTTTAGATAATTATAATAGAGTAAAACCGTTCTTTCCATGCATAAAAAAAAAATAAAAATAAATACACTCGCTATATCATTACTGAGTTACTAAATAATTTATATTATTTAAACTATAAAATTTATTTATTATATTAAACAACTGGGCTACGTAATACACTTATTACTGAATCGAACCTTGTTTTCTATGAATTTAATATGATGTGTTTTCGTTGCCTCAATTGAGATATTATAATGTTTGAAGAAAAAGAATTTGAACGAAATAAAAAGTGTTGAATTCTGAATTCTCGAAAATAATTTACATGAAAATCAATTACAAGAAAAAGAAAGTAGATGTGAGTGCAACATTTCAAGAACTATTTCATCTAAATATTTTTTTCGAGTTTCGAATGCACAAATTTATTTAATTTAAAAAATAATTGCATGATTTGTATTTTTACATTACAGAAACGACTGAGTTGTCTCATAAAATTTACAAATACAAAAATCTTAATGATCATAAATCCGTAAATTAAATTAACTTAAACAATAAGACAAACAATCTTATTTTAGACTATACGAGATTTTTTTATTTTATAAGCTAATTTCTTTGTGCGATTACATATATTGTGGAATAAATATTTCAAAGTGTTTAAAGTATCGATATTTTTTAAATTTAAAGATTCATAGAATGTAAAAAGTACAGAATATCACGAAAAGGATTTTATTTTGCAAACTTATATTCAAGTTTTGTTACGTGTGTGTGGATTCTATTAGCCAGTTTCATTTTTACCTATAATTTCGAAATGCTTTGTATACACAAGAAAAAAGAAAGAAAACAAATCTTACAGTGATAATATAAGGGCTAAACAAAAATTAAAATAAACTATGTAGTATCTTCCATTGAATATTATATATGATGTCTTTTTTATTAGAAGTTGAAGAGCCAAAAAATACCTTCACTTTTTAAAATGGAATTATGTAATTTTTTCACATAATATGTTTTCTTAATTAGTCTCCGCATAAAAGTAGGAACATCAATAAATTAATAATTTAAATAATACATAATTCAGATATTTTTTAAAGACATTTTAAATGGACCTAGTTATGCAATAGTAAAAATCCAAGCTATTGTCCGAGGCTGACCAACAATTTTTAGATTTGAGATATTTTATATTTCATTTACAATTTGTCAGAATAAAATATAAAATACCACGTAAACTTTGATTTTTCAATATTTTTACTTTGATATATATTTATGTGTGCAGAATATTTAGAGGGATCATACCACATGAAAAAAAATTATCTTATAATCCCGTTTAAGAGACTGAAGATGACCTTTAAATCTTTTCAGTTTATCTAAAAAGAAAACAACGTAATCAAAATCAGGATTGGGAAAATTACTTTGTAAAAATAACTAGTTACAATTCCAAGGTACCGAGACCACAAATTAATTTGTTAAAATTACAATTACTAAAAGTATCTTTTAAAAGTACTTTTCAGTTATTTTTTTTTATCATGATAGAAAAATGAGTGACATCGATATCATTAGGGCTATCAAAGAAAAAAAAATTACAATTTATTACCAGTCAAAAAATATTTTAAAATATTTATAGTAGACCGTATCCTTAATCAGTATTCAGATTTTAACCAATCACATTACAGACATCACATGACAAATAAATTTAAAATGTAAAAGTAACTGTTAAATTATTTACAGTTATTGGAAGAAATGTAACTAATAATAATAAGTTACATTACAACTACTAAAAAAAGATAACTGTAGTATTAGTTACTTTGCAAGTAACTAATACTTCCCAATCTTGATCAAAATACTTGACTAATGTGAATAATAGATGATAATGATATTACATACAACATAACTTGTTAAATGTGATGATTCCATTTTTTTTGTTATTGTTTTTTATAACCTTTTTTGTTACCACTTTTTTATTTCATTTGATTACATTGAGAATGATTCGAACTTGAACCGAAACGTTCGTTTTATTTAAGCACTGACTAATGAGCATTAAATAATTTATATTAATAATTTTAAACTCCGCATCATTTTCCGCGCTGACTCCAAAGCCCTATGTTACTTATATTTTGAATTTTTGTTACTTATACTTTGAACTTATATTTTGATTTCGAGGACTCCGTTAATTGTTGTTGCAAAATACATCCTCCTCGAAACCACTCTATTTTTCATCTGAAACAGTTTTTTATATCATCAATAATTTCGGAGAAAACTGACTATTTAAAATAAAATAGGACCTATATGAATTTTTGGAAATTGACAGAAACAAAAATAATTATATAAAGAGGAATTAATTTTTGTTTTTCTCATAATTATAGTAAGTTTATATAAATGTGATTTATATTGTTTATAATAGAAGGAGAGAGAGGGAAAGAGGGAGGGAGATAGGGAAGGAGGAAGAGAGAGAGAGAGAGAGAGAGAGAGAGAAGCGAATACAATCGGAACGATATTTATTACAGAAAGATTATAAGATTATATTCAGGACTATAAACATTTTAGACGCGGTTGATGCGCCGTGATTAGGACGCCGTTTCCCTGTTTAATGTGAAAAATATTATTTACATTGCACATATATCACTAGCGTTACTATCAAACGAGCGAACAGTTGGTCGCTGAGAACTCTCCGCGAAAAGGCCGTTCCGAACGAAAAGAATACAACCTCATCTCAACACGATCGTCTTCTCTATAAAGAAATGATCTCAAGAGCACTTCTAACAACTAAATATGGTCCCTCCACCCGATCGAGTTATCATTTATCATTCGTATTCACAATTCAACTGATCAGATTATCAGGACCACCGAACCAGCCTCTAGAAATCTCGCGTTGCGTCCGTTCATTCTCAACAGATTACTTAGCATACGTAATTTTAACGCTAAAAGAGCCGAAGATGAGGAACAAAGACAAGCGCCTTTCTCCCTCGAGATGTTCAGCTAAGAATTCGAAAATTTCCTCGAAAACTTACTTTCTTTATATCTAATAGAGATCTATAAAAGTTACAGAACTTGCGAATACTCGAGGAAAACTTATCCTCGTCAGTTCTTTCGGCGCAAAGTTTTAATCTTTTGCTAATCTTTCGCGCGCGTAACATTTTAAAATAATTTCAAACATGTTCACAGAATATCAATTTTTTTTTCGCACGACCGTGTCGGACAGTGTCGCGTTTGAGGCACTCGCGCCGCGGAAAGTCGCTCAAGAGAAAAGGAAAAGAGGCGTGTTCTCCGATCGGGAACGTCGCTAAGGTAAGCGTCTAAACATCACGAATGGATAGCAGTTGCAGGTTGGCGTCGAGAGAATCACTAATACTCGTATAAACGCGTATAAGATCAAAAATAGTCATTTGTAGTCGGTTGAGTTGTCGAGAACGAATGAAGTAGTTCTCTAATAGGCGACTATCGTCCATCGCAATCACGAATGGATGCTAATTGTAACCATCTCTGAAGAACGCAGGTAAGGCGAGTTTTTTTTGCTCTCACTCTCACTGCGTCTTACTATCTTTCCTTAAGTACCGAATACAATATTACTATTACTATCATCATTTATGTCTACATTCATCGTATATACGCGCGTATCTTCGTTCCACGGCGTTATCACCTTATTTCGCTGCCGTCAATCACTATCTTATGTCGTTATAATAAAATACGTCTATATGTATATATATATATATATATATATATGTATAATGCAATATGTATATACGTATACATATATACGAGGTTCACGCGATTGAATTCTTAATGTCTACTGCAATGAAAAAAATATGTTACCCTTTTTTTAAAACTTTTTTTTTTAGCACTTTGGAATTTTCTAAAGATTTCATTATTATCGTACGTGTAACATGTTGAAAGAAACAACGAATTACTTGAACTACATTCGAGCTATTGACGAATCATCATATATAAATAGCGATAACTGTCGGCGCTGTTGATCAATTGTTAAGAATACTCAACATTTACAATTCGCGACTTTTAATCCGAGATATAATCACTATTAAGTATTGACTTAAAACAAAATATTCGGACGTTGCGAATTCGAACTTTGTGGACGATTAAAGTGCTGCCATTCATTAATGCAGCATAAATTTAATTAGACGAAGATCGACGAAGATAAACGCCAGTGAAATATTACGTTACATCAATCACAACGTTCACACAGAAGACATGTGATAGTTTTTTGTCGATAACATTAATTCATACAAATCGAAAATTAATAACTGGATAGAATTATATGAGAAATTGCAGTAAGACGATGTAGATGATTTAACTATCAGTATCTGAAAAACATCTGAAGCAGGAAATATCACTTTCTACAGGGATAAAACGCGTACAAAAACCCTAATCATATAAATAAGTCTATAAGCGCTTAATAGGACGATATCTTAAAGTAGTCGTTACATAATAATGCGATAGCATTGCGCGTTAACTTGTCTTTCCTTTTTAACGGCACTATACATACATATGTGTGTGTGTGTGTGTGGGGGGGGGGGTGCGTGCGCGCGTGTATGTGTTATTATACCAACAATGTGTAATTTCTCGATAAGAAACATGGGATACTAATTCGAGAAATGATAGAAAATTGTTGTTTATAAAACTATCTCTAAACGTAAAAATAACCATACGAAATTCACGATATGCCATCGCATTTGTACATAGCCATACGAAGCATCAGTAATTTCTACAGTTATATAATAGACAATATTTTTACATCCGACAATAGAACAGCAGATAATAATAACGAAATTGCAGAATACCCATGAGCATTACGATTAATTTTATTTGTTTGTGAAACAGAGACGCGTGTACCTAGAATTTTCAAATTCATTTTTTCCTCGAAATATGCACTTCGTACTTATCTCTCCTTTGTGTATCAGCAGTGCAATTAATAAATTACGATTGAAACGTGCTTGAAGAACGTTTGGAGAAAACAGTCACAAAGTCGAACGCGCCGTCTCATAACTTCCGTCTTGTTATCTTTATCCACTCGATAAATTTTTTTCTCTCTCTTTTTATATGTGTGCACATAGTGAGTATACAGAATATATCTATGCGCCGTCAGAGAAGAATGAAGTTTCACAGCGAACACTATAGGTATTTTCTTGCGTCAATCGCTTGTTTCTGAAGCGGCGACAATTTTTGCCGCCAATTCTTTGAAACAGAGGCAGATCGTGGAGTTAGCGATTAATAGATCAGTTTAAATAATGTAATTATATGTGCGGGTTAGCGAAGATAGCATGGTTGAGAGATTCTTTGGAAAAGTTTCGAGAGGACGAGTGGCTCGTAGACAATAGACGGACTCATCGTGCGTCTTTCGCTGTCAGTTTCTCTATTAGCTCTTGCAAAGGTGCCAATTCTCTTCTCTCGATCAAATTAAATTCCTACAATGCGATATTATATATTGAATATCAGGAATAAAATCAAATAATTAAGTTATAATTATATATATAATTATAATCTAATTATTTGATTTTATATACATAAGGATGATTTAGATACGAATAAAACTTTTTTTGTTTTGATACAAATCGATGTTGGTAGACGTATTTACACCGAATAATAGATGTGGTTGACTGATCATGCTCTATATAGTTATAGTCTCGTGCAATTGTTTTTGTAGTCGTTGTTATCAATGTCCGAACAAATGATACCAAGTCATTCCACAATGAGTTATTCAAGTTCATACGATCAATTCTTACAAATAAAAATGTTAAAATTGTTGAAATTTAGCGTAAATTGCATGCACAGTTCAGAGAAGAGACATTATTGAAGGCACAGTGCACTTGGTACTATTTATCCCAACATTGCAATGACGAAAATAGTTGCCATGAGGTCACAACTATACAATACGTGAGCAGACATCTCTATCTGTCATCATTCAGTGTAAAAAACCGTCTATCAACCATTGATTTGTCTCATTCGTATTTGAATGTAGTATACATGTGTTACTATATCGTGAAATTTTATCATTTTTTGTTATCAATTTAGTCTTTTGATTTAATTAACTTTTTGCAAGATATGATTGCATACCTGAACAAAAAATATGAAATGTTTGAACGACGTATTTAAATGCGCCTCTTCACCGAGCTGTACAACTTCACTAAAATGCTGATGATAGATGTGAGCATATACTCTAAATAACCGCTTCAGAATAGTTTTTGCAATAGATAAGAAATTCTTGGGGAAAGGAACTCCTGCAATATTGAGAAAATAATCGAGAATTAGTTTTCTGTTCGGAATGATCGACGAAAAAGAAAACACGTAAAGATAATTATATAATCACCGATTTTGGATGGAAATAGAGTCTCGTCGTCCAATTGATCCTGCACCCAGGTCATTAAGTAATCTATGTATTTGGGTGCTGAGCATTTGATAGGTTTTTTCACCGTGTGACCATCGGCCCAGTGATATTCATACTTTGGTCCGGCCGACATGATGGGACAACTCTCCTCTGTACAGAATTCTGTGATAGTCCCGTATAACATGTTGATTTGATTGAAAAAATCAACAGCTAAAAGAAAAAGACAGATGTTTAGATCTGATTGATATAAAGATATAATGTTCAACTTACTATTAACAGCGACCCATTCGTTCAAATCCTCTCCTTCAGGAAGCATTACTGCCAATCGTAGATTACCGGAGCCTAATGTAGCAGCGGCATGTTTCATTAGATCATATTGATGAGTACCCTCCGGGATGTTTTTCTTTGGTTTAAAAGTCTTGGAAGACCTACTCCCACTTGAAAGAAAAAAGGACAGATATTAAAAGATCTGTGATTTCTGTTTCTTATTATGAAATTCAGAGTTATTATTTTAATATTTTAGTTCGATATTTACTATACAATTCTAATTGCATATCTTCGCTTAAAAATCTGAGGTATAAAGCAAGAAAAAAGATGTCATATAAATAAGTTATTTATCATTATAGATAAATCAATGTCAATCAGCTGACTGCCAATACTTATTAATAACACTTGTATTACTGATAAGATTAAAAAATGGCAAACATTAACATTTAATTAAAATATAGAGATGAATGTATATAATATGTGATTCTAAGAGTCCGTTATATTATTTTAATTTTTTATAATTTTTTCCAATAATTTTATTTTCTGATTTATCAAAGAGTGCATTTCTTTAATAATAATAAGAATAAATTCTCCATTCAGCTGCAGTCTTTTATACTCCTGAAATGTTTAGTTGAAGCTCAAATGTTCAATGAAGATATATATCGTTTCTTTATTTCAAAAGTGATAACTAAAAAAATAAAATTTTTCAAAAAAGAGGGAAAACGATTTTTCAATTTAACAGAAAATAATGGACTAATCAAATAATATCGGTAAAAAATATAACACCTTTTTTGATAAAAAGATAAACAATATTTTTCCTCTTTTGTTCAGTTTTTTAGTCTGCCAGTTTTAGATCTTATCAATAACAAGTCGACAGTTAACTCTGATTGTTTATCCGTAATAATAAATCTAGTATTTATATGATATCTTTCTTTTTGTATATACTTCTTAACGTATTTAATTTTATTTATTTAATTTAATATTATTTCTTATCGCAATTTTGTGCAATACAAAAATTAAACAATATTAAAATTAGAGTCAACAATTCTTCCATCGAATTAAATAAGATTGACTTAAGTTGCTTTCCTTTTAAGAAATACAGTCGATATAAACGTCGTTCTTCTTGGCATTCAATGAATAACAAAGATAAAATACTTGTGTCGATTGTCTCCTAAAAGGAAAGCAGCCTTATTGTCTTGAAGAGTGACACGTAAATGTTATATATTCTTATGTTTAGTAAGATAAAAGTAAAATAAATCTTTATCCGATATTATAACGTACGATGCCACAATATTTGAGGCGAAACTGATGTGCTAAATAATTTTTAGTTTTAAAAATTCTTTATTTAAGAATATAATAAATATATAAATTAATGAATAAAATATACATTTTTCTTTCAATAATAAATATGATTCATTTCTATATCAATTCTATTATTACTAATATAAATCGAAAAATAAATAAGATCCAGAAATTTTTTTTCTATAATAAGTATAACCTTCATTTTTGTCATTTTCATTTTATAACTTCAAAAAAATTATCTTATTTGAATTGTGATGATTTTGGTATCTTACAAAATTATTAACAAATCCAAAATAATTCATCAAAAATGATTAAAAATATCATTAATAATTTATTCAATTTATCTTCATAAACTAAAATAATTCAAAATGGAAGAATTTCTTTTTCAAACTGTATTAATTCTACATGTTCTCTGCAGAAGATTCCTTTTTATTTATAAAAATGACACAATTCAAAATGTATTACTCTGATAGAAGGGATTAGAATGATGAATAAAATGATGTTTTTTTGTATTATTATTAAGAGCAGCTGTAGCTTCATTAAAAAATGAACAAAATTTAAATTTAAAAAAAATTTTAAGCTTGAAAACTTTACTTTCAAAAACTCATTATATATATATTTTGAATTGGTGTAAATTTGGTAATTTTTATATATATTAGAAAACTATTAGCTGAAAAAAATGAAAAATTTTCTTGTCATTTTGTAGGTATCCAAAAAAAATTGAGAAAATTTTTTACTATCGTAAAAATTGAAATTTTCTCAAAATCGTTTTTTAATAATGTTCTTACAATCTTTTGTTCCTGAGTTATTCACGGATTAAAAGGAGCATTTTGATTTTGGTTGCTCATAACTCCATTAAAAATCATATTGCAAAAAACATAGATTTTTAAAGCTGAAACTTTGCTCCTTTAAATAATATAATCGCATCGCTAACTTTTGAAAATATAGTAGAATATATTAAAAAAGGAAAATCACCATTTTATAATATGGAAAACCGACATTTACTTACATCAATTAATATTATTTCTTAATTTCTTAATTTCTTAATATTATTTCTTTGAAAATTTTAAAAATAATAGAAGTGCTATTTAATGGACAGACCGTGAAGTTAAATTACTTTTGATGATCGACGGAGTAATTTTCATTTATGGTAAAAAAAAATAAATCATTTTTTTATTGTGTCACTTTTGGAATAAAAAAATGATGTAAATATGTACAAAAATAATTTTTCATTAAACCTCTTATTGGATTTAATATTTTCCTACATTCGGCAAATCTTTTTCTCTTTCCTCTCTCTCCAAAAACCCGCTTACACTTAAATGAACAACAAGAGGCAGGTAGGAAAGTGCAAACGTTATCTCCCTCTCTCCTTCTTTCTCTTTTTCTCTCCCTCTTTATCTATATCTCTACAATCTATAGTGTCTATACACTTTCTCTGGTCAAGCTTTTTTTCTAGACAAAAAAAAAATCTAAATATATTTTCCTTTACAAATGCAAAAAACGTAAAGAAATCATAGTTTGAAGAAAAGGAACCCTGCTCGATCACAACGCTCAGCTGATCGTGATTACGCACATGTAGAAAGCGACTGCGTTATTTATCACGAATGTCAAAGTGACTCCGAGAACGTCAACATCGTGGCATTCTCGATGACGAGGAGCACAAGGCGCGGCCACTGAGACGGATGATTCATAGATTACGCCGCGTCGAGCGATAATCCTGACATTCGAGAAACATTGTAAGTCCCGCGGGAAGACGCACTAAGGGAAGAATCTCCCGCACGATAGGCGCGCTATTTTTACTCTCGATCGATCCATCGGTAGACAACATCAAAATTGATCTCATCCTCATCAACTTCGTCAGGAGAACAATAAATTTGACTGTAAAGATTAACTGTTAAGATTAAGATATGAAAGAAAAAAAAAAGAGAAAACAGGACATCCTGGAATAGAATAAGAAACAAAGCAGAATCTTTCCTAAAGAAAAATAAAAATAAATCGTCAGCTGTCACAAAAGGAGGTGAATAAGATTAGGATTTTTCTTGTGGCTTCGTTCTGTCTCGTCCTTGTAGGAAGTATGAGGATGTATCGATCGGAGGGCGGCGATTTAATTCGACTCAACTCGATTCGACGGCGACGGAGAGGAGAAAGTCGCGGAGGCGAAGAAGAGGAGACTCACAATAGAAAACTCATCGTGATGGGCTCGTAGCTGTGGCCGAGTCGCTCCGCTCGTTGGGTCCGCTCTCGCCCGTTCCGCTCGGTCGCGTGGTCCACTCAGGTCCGCTGCGTCCTTGCTCAAATAGACGTGTAACGAGACAACTGACTGGACGACAACGGACGACGGACTGTGCGAGTATGATACGATGACGATGACAACGACGACGACGACGAGAACGTGCCAGCCAGCCGGCCGCCACACTCGCGAGTCGCGCGTGCGATCGCCTCCTCACAATGCTACTCGCTTTCCTTGTTCTGTAAACGCAGCTGTACCGGGGAGACGAATTGCCGTCCACACAATTCAAGCCACTCGCTGTGTCGTCGTCAGTCCACTAAATTGTCCGGTTTCTCTCGTGCTTATTCTCTTCTCCCTTCCTTAGTTCCTTTCTCTCTTTTTCAAACTGCGGGACGTTGCGCGATCGATCTGGCAAGAATCACGGCGGTACGGAGATTCGTTACGTTGGCTACAATGTATTCAATAGAGCATCCAAGATTGCGTTCCAAAATTCAATTCTGTCAACTCCGAGTATCATTTCATCTTTGTTGGTCACCGAATGTTAAATAAAGGATACTCGAAGTTGACAGAGTTAATTTGAATGCACCCCAGGGGATCGATTTTATATCTTGAAATGAGATGAAAATTGTAAAAGTGATCGAATATACTAGAATACTAATTATTTCATTGATCAACCTAATAAATTTGCTCGCTTTTGTAATTTTCATTTTGTTTGAAGATACAGAAGGTTATTCGCGTCGCATGCCCCCACTTCTGCTATAGTTCCTACTCATTCTAATCAACGCATTGGAGTAAGTAAAAGCTGAAGGGAGCATGTTGAAACATGCGACGCCAACAAATCTCATGTGAAGAGAACCTGTCGTAGGAGCATGTTAGAGCTTATGACGCGAACAAACCTTAGGTATATCAATGGTTGCGATCAGCGGGCTTAACAATTGAATGAACACTTGCTGCTATTGATGTATTCTTTCAGATCTAAAATGCTGATTGGATAATCTAAAAGAATACATTAATAACAGCAAGCGTTCACTCAACTGTTGAATCCTCTAAACGCAGCCATTGCAAATGCATTAATAGAGAGCTTTTAGAATACCGAGTATTCCGAGTATTACGGTAAACGCTAAGACCCGGTTGTTCCACCTTTTGGTAAATTTTATCTGTTGAGTAAATAGCAAGATTACCCAATCACACGCGCAGATTGTCAGATTTATCTAACAGGTAAAATTTACCAAAAGGTGAAACAACCGGCCCTAAAACACGTAATTTAATGGAAAGACTATACATGCAGTTCGATTTTTCATTAAATAATGAGACTTTAGCGTTTAGGATTCACTTTACGAAATGTCGATTAGTCCATTGGAATGGCCAATCGCATCTGCCGTTAAATGAAATGATAAATGCGATTGGTCGATTAAGCTAATCAGTGTAAAGTGATCCTGAGCGCGCTTCTGGCTGCGTTCCAAAACTCAACTCTGTCATATCAAATATCATTCTACCCTTGTTCACTGAACAAGGATAAAAGATACTAGAGTTGATGGAAGTCGAGTTTTGGACTCATTCTAGAAATTGAACGCAAGAAACACGACTTGCATCGATCGTTTTGTCGAACGCGTCGTCATCGTTCGCCATTTTGTTCACGAATCTTCGGTTTCGATACTTACAAGTATTTCTACTTCGGTTGTGTTGATCGTTTGTATGTAGTATTCAACGAACGATTTCAAAGATAATATTGTAAATTCGAGCAGATTTCTCTAATTACCTAACTTTGTGCTCGAGAACGGGAAAAGCAGTATTTCAACGCCCCAGGCGGCGGTAAGTTGGGCGAGTCGGTATCATGAATCTTGTCGAATGCCATTGCTTCTCCCAACAGTAATGGCATTCCTCCGCGAGATGTTTCATCAAATATCTGTTAGGTCTTTTTTTATAATTGAACTAATACTTATGTTTGGAACTTAAAAATAAAATTGGTATATAGTTGATATTTGACTAAAACAATTTACTATAGGAATAAAAAACTGATCTAAGTATGTCGTCGTTACAACACCCAACGTTTAGTGTCAGTTAAATTCTTCATGATTTTCACGTATATTTTTACTTGTGAGTTGATTAAAAGTGAACACCGTAGTCTAATGAATGATTATTTTGCGATCAGAAATTATTCACTTTTATGTTCTCTTTTAATCTTATCGTGTTCTTTTCGTCAATTTATCTGTCAATATTCAGCCTGTGAAAACAGTTGACGAAAATTGTTGATATATTCTGGTTTTTGTTTTTCTTCTCTCTCTTTTTGTTATTGTTTTGTGTATGTTTCTTGCAAAATAATTTCCAAGATGTTTTAAATTGTGAAAAGTGCATGTTTCGACATGTAATGTGAATCTAATTTGGAAGAATTGCGAAATTGCTGGTATTCAAGTAATATAATTCAAGTAATATAATTAAGTCTTATATACTCAAGTTTGATATCAAGTCAATAGCATATTAAAGTCATACTAATCTCAGTGTATTAAAATAAAATACAACTTTGAATTAATAAATTTGAAAAAATGTGAGTGCATTTAGTATTACAGACTGGGCACTGAGCATTCAATGAGTAAGAAAGGAATTAATATGTTTATTATAATATTCATAATATAGAATAATTATCTATTATAGGTAAGCTTTAATATTATATTTTTTACTTATTACTATTTATTATTTTTCCAGGTGAACAATATGAGTGCAATTTTATGTCACTCATATTGCTTAATGAATGTTCACGATATTAAGAATTAAATTATTAAACAGTAATTAGTCACTAAGAAATATAATATTAAATATTATCTAACAGATAAGATACTCTAGAATATTACAATAAACTTATGAATATTACAATAAACATATTTTTTCGTTTCTTCACTGAGCGTTCAGTAAATACTGAATGTAATCTATGTATTTAAAATATATATATGTATTTTATCAAATAACACAAAATATTGAAGATTTTACAGTTTAATCTTTATATTTAAGTATATTTATATTATATAAGTATTATATTATATAAGTATTTTATATTTATATTAAGTATACATTATTTGTCTATAAAGACTTTAATATGCATTAAGTGTGCATTAGTGTGTCCAATTGAATTCACTATTATAATTTTTCTGTACACTGTAATTATATTATTTGAAATATCCAACTCTAACCAATCCTAAAGTGTTCTCTACTATATTGTTACATTTACTTTGAGCTAAATTGATTGTAAAATATTCCATCTTTGTATTTGCAGATATTATTTATAAGGAGAGATTGCATTAGATTAGAATCATGTCGAGTGGTAGTGGAGATCATGAGGAGGAGGGATATGTCGTTAAGGTGCGTGGACTGCCATGGTCCACCACTGTGGATGAGATTATGAAATTCTTTGGCGACTGTTCGATTTCAAATGGCAAGAATGGAGTTCACATGACTACATCCCGTGAGGGACGCCCTAGTGGCGAAGCCTATGTGGAAATGGATACTCCAGAAGATATTGAGAAGGCTTGCAAAAGAGATAGAGATCACATGGGCCATCGTTATATCGAAGGTTAATTTTATAATTTCTTTTAACATGTAATGGTTATATTTAATAAAAAAAACAGTTTTCAATTATTGTAAGAGTCTTTAATATGATTTTACCTTTACTTCCTCATTGGATCTAAATGTATAATGTTGCTGTTTCAGTTTTTAAAGCAAAACGCGGCGAAATGGAATGGGTTGTGAAGAGGAGCGGTCTAAATTTGGAGAACGCAATGGACGATGGTTGCGTGAGATTGCGCGGCCTACCGTTTGGTTGTTCGAAAGAGGAAATTGCACAATTCTTCTCAGGTACTTAGCATGTAACAATCCAAAGTATCCAGTATCAATGCTTTTTAATTGATATCAAATGTCATTGAGATTTTATTTAATCCTTGGAAAACAGACACCTATTCATCTTTTTCAAATATATAGCTTTTTTATATTTTTATACTTCCTTTTTCATAAGATAAAAATGAATAAATGAAATTCAACATTTGTCTCAGGAACGCAGTGACGGAATACTTTCGATGGCTTTAACAATTAAATTACTAAAATTACTATCTTGCATCAATGAGTTTTATAGTAAGCAAGTAAGCTGTAACAATTGCTTTCTAACAATATTAGTTGCTTAATCTAAAATTAGCTATTAAAAGTAATGAGATAATGGCTCAAACGCATCTATCTAAATTAAATTGGATGAAATTAAATTCCATCTGAAGAACGATGTCTCTGTGTTCTGATATCGACGATTAGCCTTAGTTAAGATTTAAGATTTCGCTGAGTTGTACGAATGTGTCGCAGATTTATGATTTTTATAATTTGTACGAACGAAAATATTTTCATTGCGCGACTTGATCGAGCTTAATTCTTAACTTTGGTTTTCGGACGTGGCAATTTAATGTCTTATATCTGTATAAGGAGAATCACGAAGAGAAAGAAGAAAGAAAGAAAAAGAATGCGCACATATGTGCGCAATTTTAGAGTCCTTAAAAGTTTTGCTTCTTTTATAAGGGTTTTAATAAACTTGACCATAACATCTTTTTCCTAATGGGTGCCTATAAGCTACAATATCGATGTTTGATTATGTGTGGGTCAGGGTTGGAGATTCTTCCGAACGGGATATCACTACCGACAGACTACACGGGCCGCAGTACTGGGGAGGCTTACGTTCAATTTGTTAACAAAGATGTTGCGGAGCGCGCTCTGCAGAAACACAAGGAAAAGATAGGACACAGGTGGGGCACTGAGATGGTATAGCTGGGTTTGGGTATACTTATGACTTTTCCATATCATTTATATTAATGATCGTAGTACATGTAGGTATATACATTTCGTTTAGTAAATAGTGGGAACGAATTCTACGATACGGATGCAGCTTCTTTATCTTTCTCTGAGGAGGATTTTCCGCGCGAGAACGAAAATGGAGGAACCATTATATTTGTACTATTATTATTAAGCTCTATTCAGTACATGTGTATCGTTTTGAAAATTTTTAACATAAGCTAATTTGAGAAAATCCCGCATCTTGCTGTGTCGAGATAAATAATTTAAGTTTTTTAAAGTTATAAATGAATTTTTTTTGTGTCGAAAGAGGATCACATTTAGAAAATTTTTCTTATTTGACATAAAGAAACTGCCTCTCTCAAAACACAATTACAACTAAATAGTCGTACGTAAGCGAAAGTACTGTGGACCCAACTATTTATATTTATGGGTGGGTGTTGGGGGGCGGGAGATAGCCCCTTACCATCATCACCAAATCCCATGGGAAATGGGTAGGGCATGCCAAAGCTCGGTGGGTGCTACAGAGAGAAAGAGAGAGGGAGAGAGGTGGAGAGATATAACCATCGATCCAATACGACAACGTCTAGGCGACGCCCATAATTGCAGATGAACGTTAAACTTCAAGATTAAACTGTCTTGTAAATTCAAAATCAAATCTTCTTATAAATTTTAAAATAAAAAAAAAACTATTTAGTAAACTTCAAATCGCTTTATTATTACACTAGGACATTTTTTTTTATGTCAGCGTATGTTAAATTGATAATCTACGTCAACCAAAATGCTCGTTCATCTGCAAAAGGGTGCAATCGTGAGCGTAGCTTACCCGAAGATCGTCGGCGTCGCATGGGCTTGTGGGGTACGTGTGACGTAGATACGTCGGGAAGGAATTTCATCGTGGGAGGGTCTCTTCGCAGGTTTAATAAAAAATTGCGGAGGTTTAGTATGAATATAATTGTTCTGTCACACTTGTAAACTCAACTTCAATGCCAAACTGCCAGACAAGTTTCCTCCTTTTTTTTTCTTTTTATTGTAAACGTCAGACAGTAAATAATTAATCTCTCGCTACTGCTGTGCAGGAATGGCTCCTCTTTACACTTTTTCTGTTTCTAAAAAATAATGTGTATCACTGTTTTTGTTTTTCTTGTCTCTCACCATTTGTGATATCTCGAATTAAATCCGTATCGTTAAGTTTTGTCGAATTTTCAATTTGGTGGCATTTGTATGGTGAGAGTAATAATATAATAATAATAATAATAATAATAATAATAATAATAATAATGATTATTTGCTAACGTATCGCTCTGTGCATTTCTAACGCGTATATCTTCAATCGTTAACAGATATATCGAGATCTTCCGAAGCAGCTTATCCGAGGTACGCGCTAGTATCGGACCGAAAATGCGCGGTGGTCCTATGGGCGGCTTCAATCAGAGGCCCGCGCCGTATACTCGTGGTGACCGCTTCGGTGGGATGAATCGTTTTAGCAACAATGGCAGAGGATCCAGAAATAGAGGTGATTCCTTTCATCTATCGAAGTACGAAGACAATCGTGCAGGACAATACCGTAATAGAGACTTAATATACAATTCACGTACTAATTCATTACGTATGTATTTACATGTCTTATATTTTACTTCCTTAGAGCTTCTAGTCTATTTTCAGCTTTATCGTAAACTGTGTAATCTTTAGACTTTGATAACGGTCCATGGGGAAGTGGGAACAATTATGGATCTCGTGGCGGCAATATGGGAATGCGTGGCAGCATGGACATGAAGGGTGGCAATTACAGAGGCAACAATGACTCCTGGGGCGGTAATTCTGGCGTGTATAGTATCCATATGCGAGGACTGCCGTTCAAAGCGACAGAACAAGACATAGCTGATGTAATTCTCATAACTGATAAGATTCTATTTAATAATGATAAAATTCTATTTTTCAAAAATTCTTTCCTAATATTCAATAATATAACATTTTGGATGGTTGGTCTTATTTTGCAGTTCTTTAGACCAATTGAACCGGTAAATGTTCGCATTATTCTTGAGAATGGTGGTCGTCCATCGGGAGAAGCTGATGTAGAATTCGCGACTCATGAAGAAGCTTTGAAAGCAATGTGCAAGGTTTGTGTGTACATTTTTTATTTCTTTAATCGAAGTCAACTTCAGAAATCATTTAAACAGTATATATGATTATAATATACGATTATGTATGATTTTATACACACACACACACACACACACACACACACACACACACACACCTCACACACACACGCGCGCGCGCGCGCACACACACACACACACACACACACGATTATGTAATTTTAAGATAATATAATTTTAACTTCTTCACATTTTATTATAGGATAAAAGCCACATGTCGCACAGATACATTGAGCTATTCATGAATTCATCCAGCGGATCAAGTAACATGTCACTAAGTGGCATTGGCAATTTCTGTGGAGGTAATTCTGGATCATATGGAAAATTTCCAAAAACACGCTACAGAAGATAAAAACTGTTTAAATTAAAACTCTAAATTATTGTTATTCTCTAAAATATATTTTTAAAATATATAAAATAATTTCTTACGAGTCTTTGTCATATTAACAATTTCTATAGAGATAAAATTGTTAGATCATACCAAAAAATATCTGAAAACATAACAAGATAAAATAAAAAAATTGTACTTAAGATATTTTGAAAATATATCTAATAATCTCTTACAATTATTATAAATTGAATTTTATATATATTTTTTCCTATTACATAATTTGAAAACAGTTTTATAATTTTTAACACTTAAATTACAAGCAAATGTTCTTCTCGCGTTTATTATATCACATTGACATAATATTGACATATTATTTACTATGTTTATGTATACGTACATATAGATTTCTTTATATACAGGCTTAAGTAACAACTTCAGGCAAGGATACTCTCCAAACAACAGAACTTTCAACTCGCAGTTGGGCGGCAGCAATTATAATAGTTTTTGAGATCGGGCAATGCGTTTCTAACGCTAAACGTTCAAAAGAATCAAAGTGATCGATGGAAAAGACCCACTTCTAAATCACATTGATGCAATATGAATAGATTTTATTTTATTTTATTTTATTTTATTTTTTTTTTCATATATAGTCTTGAATTATATGTTAATCGTAAGCCAAATCAATAGTAGTATAAGTACTCTCGCTTATTCGTTTATAACATAAAGTATGTTATAAACATATATAAAATATGTAATTTACATAGAACATATAATTTAATTTTTGCTATGAATGAGTAAAGGTGGAAAGTTCCCCTTTGATAACTTTTTTTTTTTTTCTTCGTTTAAACTGAGCGCAATGTCAACAGATAATCGTACGTCGTCGAAATAAAATACAAGGCGAAAATTTCTTGGAGAATTATTATTGAATGAAAAGAATATAATTTTAGAGTTTGGTTTAGCCATATAATTAGATTAACTGCGATAAAAATATTTCTTGTTTTTAGTGGCGACGTACATGATATTTTCTGATAATATCAAATATTAGAATTATAATTTTATATAATATAAACTTATTACTTATCGTAATAGCTTTGATGCAGGCTTAGATATGATAATCGTCAATATGCGTCGAGACGTAGTGATGAGCTGTAAAGCGCAAAATATATGATTATAATACGGACTAACTACAGTTCGCGATTACACCTCAATAAATTCGTATTGTCTTATGTATTGTACATGCGGGATCCTAAGTTAGATATAATAGCCGCTTACACTCATCTTTCACCACAACGCGATAATGTACTATATGACGTATAATCTTGGAATAAGAATTATAATTTCCATTGATATTTATAGATGTTACGAAACTATATAAGGAGACGCTGCAGTTCTCTTCAAGTCGGTGTGCCGGCTGCAAGTGTCAATGTTATGTATATCTTAACGCAGGTTTGATTTCGGTTTATATTATCGCACATGTTTGAATAAAAAAAAAATTCGAAACAATGAAGAGGAAGTGCGTAAAATGCGTAATTCCCAGAAACAATACGAACGTGAATAAGTTAGACTTATTATTTCAATTGAATGTTCGACTTTGAATTACGCCGAGTAAATCTAATTTATTTATATTTGTATTGTTATACATATTCTTAGTTCATGTATTATATTCTTAAAATAAAATTGTCATTCAAAATTGAGAAAAAAATCCAATCTAAATAAAATTCTTTGAAAATCCAGTCAATTCCTCATTTCACATCCAAAACTTATTAAGAATATTTTAGCTATATATCAGTTTAAAGTATTAGTCAAATAATTAATCAAATAAACTAATGTTAGCTTATAATAGTTTTATGCAGCAAAATAATCAGAATTGTGCTCAAATTTTACACAGATATTCATAATAATGAAACTATCTGAAATTTTTATATTTTTGATAATGTTTTGAGATATGAATCACACATCTTCAGCATTTCATTTATAGAAGAAACTATCAAAAACGGTATATCTAAGAATATATTTTGATGAAAATTTTTCTTGGAATTTTTTTATATCAAATTTTAGAATTTCTGATTAATTTTATAACTTTTTAGAAAATTCTGATTTTTTATAGAAATTGGAGCACTTCACACAGATGTCAAAAAAATCTATTTCTTCTAGAATTCTAAAACATTCATTTATTCATGTGAATTCCGAAAAAAAATATTCTAAAATTTCTCTTTCTAATAAAATGACATATGAAAAATTCTAAAAAAAAGATAAACTTTTTCAAGTGTTTCTAAAAAATGTTCCAATTTGTATAAAAATTCTGAGAAATTTTTTCTCCAACAATTGCGTTTCGAAAACACTTCGAGTATCTGCGAGTATCATTTTAGCCTTATTCATCGAATGTTGAATGAAACAAGGATAAAATGAATGAATCTTGTTTGTACATGTTATTTAAAATATTCTGGGCCAGAATATTCTAATTATTCTAATACAAACAGAATTCATTCATATATTTACGAAGTAAATTGAGTATCTTCTATGCTTTTATTAATTGCTTTATACATTTATTCAAATATAATTTTGTATTTTAATTAATTTATTTAAGTATCTACTTTTTATAATATTTTTACAAGACTTGATGTATCTTCGATATCAACTCTTGTAAAAATATATAATACAAAACATTTATTCATTTAATAGCGAACTCCATGGACTCGAACGTTGTAACATAATATAACTTTTCAGACACCCCGTATACAGTCATGAATACGCCGACACGTCACTCACATACGCTTCCTCACACGCAAACGTTTCATTAAGTAAACAATGCACGAGTGGTTCATCGTACTTGGAAACGGAAGCTCCGGGAAGAAAATCGAACTGTCAGAAGACGAAGCATGGGTCAGCTGAGATTCCAGATATGACTGCCCACGCTTTTCCAGGAGACAAAAGCGTACGGCTTTGATAGAAGATCATTCTGTGCACGGAGTTTTCGAGCACGTTCAAAGTACGTTGATTCATATCCCCATCAATCGAAAGTGAACTGGTAAGCAATTTTGACGTTTATTCTATTTTCGATATTGTAAACAAGATAAAACGCACGATCTCGTAGTTTCCAAAGAAGGGAAAAGGCTTCTCCAAGTAAGGTTTGTTTTTGTGCGCCAACAGAACTCGAATTTATGTTTTATGAAATGATATTCTACTAAACGTTAAATTATTATTGCAGGTATTAAAGTCATTCCACACAAGAAGGTGTGCATGCTATATAAATGCCATATACGGTACGACTGCGCCTTACCCTTCCCTGTTCTACTCTTCGGCTTCGCGCATGAACGGAAATTTAAAAAATACGCACTCATTAATGATGTCGAGAGATTAAACCGTACTCTTATCAGTGTCGCCGATGTAACCGGTGATTACTTGTCGCAAATGAGGATATCTCACACTGTCGATGAGGTAAGTAATAATGGTATTGGATATTATTTATTTATGTATAAAGGGTTGCGTGAATGAAAGTATGTGGGAATAATTTATATAGGGATTGGCATGTTTATAGTCGTGTCATGCGTTTTCACAGTTGTATAAGAAGTTTGTTTATGCCTCAATTTTTTGAAATACGTAATAACGAGCTTAATTCTCACCGAACATATATATAATATTTTGTAGCTTTATGTAATTTCGCTTTATCACGACACGCCTTGCGGTGATTAGAGATCTTTATCTCACTTAGTTTTTCGAGATGCAATTGTGATATGAATTTAAGTTTCAAGTTTCAGATTCTTCCGGTACCATTACGTTTGTTAAAGTGAATTGTCAAATAATAATAGTATTCTGTAAGAATGGGACAAGACACAGAAAGCAACAATGGTGATAATGACAAGTGGATTGAAAGTAACGTACAACACAAACGTAATGAAAGGTATATGGTCATTTAAAATTGTCTTTCATATTCTCTTCTTGAGAAAAATAATGAAATATTTTATTTGAATTCAGTTATATGAATTAACTTGGAAGATATACCAATTTCTTTCAATCTTTTCTTAGGTCTTTGGAGCCCGAGCAACAGCATTCTCTTTTACCAAAGGCAAGTGGCAGTACAGCGAAACAAGTTAGGGAATATATCCCCAGATCTGGGATGAAGAAATACAATAATGCTTTGAGCAATTTGATACCAATACGGTATCAGAACCAGTACGTAATCGAAGTCTCAAGATAATCTTTTGTAGTAATTAAAAATGTTTAATATATATTTAATAAAATATTTAATGAAATGTATTGTATATGATCTTTATCAGATACAACAATATAACTTAATCAACTAATAATAATATAACACATGTGTTGTATTAGTTACATTCTTGAATGAGAAATTAATAAGTTGTGTTACTATTTTGTTGATATTTGTTGGGAAAAATTATTATTTTAATGATGAAAATATATTTTACAGGAAGAAAGAAAATTCACCAGCGGATAATGCTGGATTATTTTCTTATGTATATATAACATGGATGACGCCATACTTATGGAAAGCATACAAGAAAGGTCTTACGGTAAAGGACTTACCGGACATATCGGTATATGATAGCTGCGAGTACAATGCACTTAGGTGAGTTTAATATATTATTGTGTATCCTAAACAAATAAGTAAAACTCTGTTTATTGGCACTCTATTTAGACAGTAGATATGGCGTCATAGTTTGGATAATAAGAGCTCGATGCATTCAATTTGTTTTCTTAATGTCAGCTATTATTGGAACTAATAAATACTGGTATCAGAACTGTCCTCCGACACTTCAGCTAAACGAAGTTTTATTGTAGTTATAATATAACTAAGAATTATTTTTTTAGACTCGATGTACTTTGGCAACAAGAACTAAGTCAAAATGGCCCGAATGCAGCATCTTTTTCTACAGTTGCGTGGAAATTTGTACGCACACGAGTTTGCATGTCATGTTTTTTATTGACATGTTCTCTTATTTTTGGATTTCTAAGTCCAGTAAGATCATTCTTATAACAATATCTAAATTGTTATTAAATTCAATCTTTGTATTATAATATAGAATTTTTTTTCACTTAGACGATATTAATGAGGAAAATATTGGAACACGTAGAGTCTCCAGAAGAGGACTTTTGGGATGGTATCAAATGGGTTTTTCTACTGACAGTATGCGATTCTTTGCGAGCTTTCTTCTTTACCTGGACATGGAACATGAACTATAAGACTGGATTACGATTGAAGTCGGCTTGTACAGCTCTGTTGTATAAGAAGATTATAAGATTAAATAGTCTTGGCAATAAAAGTACAGGAGAAGTGAGATATTTAATTTGTTCCATAAATCTTGAAACACAAAGAAAATGCTCTCTTAATGAAGTAATATATGATTCTTGTGTTCAGATAATCAATTTATTTTGCAACGACAGTCAAAGACTTTTTGATGTGATTATTTATGGACCAATGATTATTAGCGGGCCGATAGTTATAAGTTGTGGTATAATTTACATATTGTGGCTATTCAATCCCATTGCTCTAGTAGGAATGATAGCTTTTCTCTCGTTTTATCCGTGTCAGGTAAATAGCTCATTGTTAAAGATATTTAGTCATTGTAGATATTAATAATATTTTGATATTGTATCAAAATTCTAAGAGAAAAATTTTTACAAATGCTCATTCTGCATATTTTGATAAGCAGAGCAATATCTGTTTTAGTACTTCATCTCTCGTGCGACTGGCTATTTTCGCTCGAAATCGGTAAACGTTACAGATACTCGGGTGCGACTCATGAGTGAGATTCTCGAATGCATAAAGTTGATTAAGATGTATGCCTGGGAGAAATATTTTGGCCAAAAACTTCTCGGTGAGAATAATACAATAGAAAATTTATATTTTATATAGAACAGAAATTATTAAAAGCAATGTTATTGGCAAAGCAATAGAGTTTTATTTTAATATACATATTCTTTATTAGAAAGATATATAAATTTGTTAAATTTACATTTACAAAAATTTGTGTGTATAAAATATAGGCAATTTAATAATTTTCTTGCAGCTATACGCAAGAAAGAAGAAAGTTGGCTTCATAAGACTGCGTACTTTCAAAGTCTTAGTATTTCTTTGACGCCTGCTATACCTGTTATATCCGCGATCATCACGTTTTTAGCACACATTGCTTCGGGCAGTGGATTAACAGCTGCACAGGTACAAAATATAATCTTTTAATATAATTTCTGATTTTTAAGATATATATTTTCATAAATATCTAAATTTTATGTATATCAGGAGAAATCGAATAACATTCAATAGGTAAGCAATTTGGTAAGATAAAGTTTTGGTATGATAAAGTTTTCCCTCAGAAGTTAGTTCAATCAATTTCCACGAATATTCGCAATCTCAATTGCAAGATAATATCTCCTGAATTTTACAATCAATGGATTATATTACAGGCTTTTCCAATGACCACATTATTTGGAAATTTACTTAGACTGGCACTCACGTCACTTAAGGATACCACGCGATATTTTATCAGCGCCCTCATAGCTCTTAGAAGATTCAAGGTCTCCATGTTTTTTAAGTGATTTCATGTACAGCTTAATGGGAGGTCGGATATCCGTACCTATTATTAGAAAGTCAGTATCCGTGTTCAATAAATTTAATTTCGTTTGAATCGTTAATTTATTTTTATATATTTTTTTACCGAGATTATATATTAAAATACAAGTAATTAACTCTAATCTAAATTGTCATTGAATTTTAGTTTGCAAAGTCTATTAAAGATATTCAATCATTATAAATTAATATTTTGATAAAGAATTTTTGCAAATAGAGATTAGCGAAAAACAGCACGGACACTTCCTATAATAATACGTACATGAGGTCAATGTTGTTTTAATGTAACATAAGCTTTTTAGTAAAACTAAAGTAAATTATGGACAAACACTGCATGCCTTGTAAAGCACCTTGTTACATTCGAACAGCTGTTTTCTTAGCGATTCTTTTAATATGCCAAATACCCGAATTGCATCTGTATACAATATCGAGTGAAGATGTAACGTTCCCATGCCACGGAGGATTATAACAGTCGATTTAATTCTACACTTTTCAGGTGTTTCCTTTCGTATCGGTACTCAATGCTCAAATTCGTACCTCTTTCATGTTTTTACAAGTGGCCTTAGTTAATATCACCGCAGTAAAGATAACTTTTGGCAGAATAAAGGTTTATTCTTGTTTATATCTAATAGAAATGCACAGATTGCACCATATATATGTGTTGTATCGCAACCGTGCTTTTCCTATTAACATCTTCATTTTCCGATATAACCGAATGATAATAAGCTTCCATTTTGCTAACAAAACTTGCCTATTCAGCATTTTCATTTTTGCTTCTTTTGTTGCTTTTGTATCTGTATCATGTCAATTATGATGAGCTTAAAGAGCATATATATATTACTGTATAAATTTGTTTTTAAAAATTTATTCGTTTGGGGATATTTCATACTACTGTGAAGGATGAAATATCTAGATTATCGCAAAATGTATATTGCATATCTTTATCTTATTTCTGCAAAGTTACATTTTTACATATTTATTTGTTCAATGTGCTTTTAACAATGGCTTTACATTTCTTTGAAAATTTATTGACTAGATAATTTGATTAACAAAGCAATATTTGTATAGAGTGTATTACTATTGGATGAAAGCAGTTGCCAAGCGTCAAAACCGATTGTGAGATCGCAAGCAGTTGCCATTGCTAATGGTACCTTCGTTTGCGACAGTATGACGCTTCAAACAGATGCATTGATCGACAGCAAGAAAAAGTAAATATATTATATAATATTTATTATAATAATCTTTCTGATGTATTGCGATAACTATTTTTTATATAGAAAGAAATCGCTACCAGTCACAGACAGTCCGCCGGAACTGGAAAACTTGAATCAATTGATGCAAGAAGCTAAATACGTTGAAGTTCTTACTGACGTGCATTTCGGAGCACCTAAAGGAAAGCTGGTCGGTATTTGTGGTCACGTAGGCAGCGGCAAGTCCAGTCTGCTTTTAGCAGCTTTAGGACAGCTGAAAATAACAAAGGGACACATCTTAAGGGAGGGCACTTGTGCTTATGTCAGCCAACAAGCGTGGATTGTGAATGGAACCTTTAAGGAGAATATTTTGTTCGGCGAGGAGTTTGATGCCAAACGTTATTATCACACGATCACAATTTGCAATCTGAAGGAAGATTTAAATATGTTACCGGGAGGAGATGATACTGAGATCGGTGAGAGAGGTATCAATCTATCCGGAGGACAAAAGCAGAGAGTTGCGCTCGCGCGAGCATATTATGCCAATCGGTACGTAAAATCTTTATCATTTCCTTTTTAAGAAATACATTGATTGTGCTGCTAATGTCTGTTTCTACCAATGCAGTTTAATTTTAATCTCGATTCAACTAATTCTTTTTTTTCTAGTTCTAGTTCTAAAAATTGAGCCGAGATTAAAATTAATCTACATTGGTAGAAACGGATAAAAATCGAATATAGCAATTGTATTTATTGTTTCAGGGATATTTATTTTCTTGATGATCCTTTGAGCGCAGTTGATGCATACGTTGGTTCATATATATTCGAGAAATTGATCCTTGAAGCTCTTAGAAACAAATCTGTTCTTTTCGTGACACATAACGTTCAAGTATGTATTTAATTGATGTTAAAATTCCAAAATATTTATTAATAATACACATGTGCCTCATAGTTAATAATATAATAAAATCCATGAGAATTTTTCTTATATATATTTTTATTGTTTTCTAAAAATATAAAAAATAAATTCAAAGGAAATTAATTAACAATGTGATTTTGAAATATTGGCGTCAAAATTTTAAAATATTCCAAATTTTTTCATTATAGTTTTTAAAACGCTGTGATGAAATTTACATGATGAATGCGGGCAAGATTGTAGAGCATGGAACCCACGAAGATCTCTTACGACTTGATAGGGAATACGCATCAATGGTGAAGAACAGCACAATTGCAACGGAAGATAATTTATCAGCGTACGTTTAACGGCATTGTATTTTTTGAATTATTTGAAAGCAATTTAGTAATCTTTTATTTTTTCACAGTGTTAAATCTATGAAAGTAACACAAAAAAGTATTAACGATTTAGAAGTGCAAAAGAAATCTGCGCACAAAGAAAATTATGGAAAAGAGAAATTATACAAAGGTACGCGCATTTAATCGTATATTTTGATTTAGAGATCTCTGATATTTTTCTTTTTTAAATTATATTAATTGTATTGAATAGGAACTTTAACAATGGCAGAAAAGTCTGAAAGTGGATCCGTCAAGTCGTACACTTATCACACATATATACAAGCTACAGGTGGTTATTTGATCGCTATTCTCGTATTTTTTACGTTTTTTTTGAACGTAGGTAGTTCGGCCTTCAGTACTTGGTGGCTTG